TATGTAAATATAATTTATAATATATTCTTAGTTAATCTTAATAATATTTTATATATTTTTATTAATTTTAATTAATATATTTTACGTATTTTTTAGATAATAGAAAACCAAAAAGCCTATTGTTATACCCTAAATCAAGTCTCATGAGAATCAGGACACGTGGAGACATTATAAAGATAGTCTTATCAAACTTGGCTAAGATAAATCCCACTCGAATAAGAATACCCTAAACACCAATTAAATAAAAGGACCATGATTGGTGCACACCCGGATTCCACACCCGGGTGTGCACCCCCCACATAAAAAAAAAAGTTGGACCGGGTGATGGGCATTTATTTTTTGTTTATATGGGGGGTGCACACCCGGGTGTGGGATCCGGGTGTGCACCCATCATTTTCCTAAATAAAATTGTATTCCTAGAATAATTGTATTTAAGCATCTTATAAATACCTCTAGGATCAACCTAAGGAGGTAGATTATTTTTCATTTCTATTCTCTCTTCATTGCAAACTCTCGCTAACAATAAAGATCTCGGTTCCACACCATCTATTCTATTTTTTAGTGTTAACATTTGGCACCCACCGTGGGGCCGAGTTCTTATTCCCCAGGAATATCACATGGCAAACTTGGGAAATTCATTAACACCTCCCAACAACATTCAAAATTCTGGAAATAATAGAGGAATGAGAACCTTCTCTTCATCAAGAACAAATTCCAATGACGATATGGGTAGATCTAAACCAGAAGCTCTTTGTCAATAGCATCATAGGTGCGAAGGCTTGCGTAGGATATAGAGGAAACAAGGCAAAGCTTGAAGGCAGTTGAAAAGGCCATAGTGTCCTTCACCAACACAGTAAATACTCTGACACAAAATTTGAGAAGACAGAGGAGAGAATGCAGAGGATTCAATGCGTGGAAAGAGTAATTATGATGATGGACGCTACTCACCTTCAAGACCAACAGAGCCGATTACTGATTCATATTTGTAGCCATCCTCTACTTTCACTAAGTACAAAATCCAGGAAAGAGACATGTGGACAAATGCACAAACAAACGAAAGAAAAGGTGCACCACAAAATCATGGAACTTCTAATGCTTTATTATGCAAGCAATTTCCTACGACCTTTAAGAAAGCAACGCAAGCTTGGACTCCCTAGAAAACCAATCATCACCTGTTGACAATCAAACAAAAAATAGATGAATCATTAAGAGCCTACTTAGCAAGATTCCATAATGAGGCTGTGAAAATTGAAAAGTTAGACCAAAGCGAAAGATCTACAAGTAAAGAAGCATAAGAGAAAAAGCTACGAGGAGACCAAGCCTAGTGGAAGAAAACAAATGTTGCTTGTTGGAATTCCTAAAGCACCGCTATTTGCATAACTCTGCATCATTCAACAGAAAGCTGCGCAGGAACGAATTAACAACTTACCAGATAAGTTTCATATCTTTTTACAATATTTAAATAATTATTGTCATAAACTTATCAATTATGATCTTGAAAGTGTTAAGTGGGAAAATCCCACATCGAGTATAAAAATAAGAAGCTTGTGGGTTAAATATAAGGAGGGCTACTCCACCTATTGCCAATTGGTTTTA